AGGTCTCCATGCAGCAGTGCAACCCCGCAGCCCTGCTGGGGAGTGACCAGGCCAGTCCAGGCTACACCGGAGCCCGCGTATGTCCCCTCCCACCAGCTGGGATGTCACAGGGTCAGAGGATCTGGCAGCGAATTTCCCGCTGAGATCTGCAGGGGGATGGAGATGGGATGTAATGGCACTGTCTAAGCAGCTTCATCTTGTCCGTGATACAAACTCACCAGATCAATACAAACGTCTTCTAGGGTCTCAATGGCAGGGGCAGAGTCCTCTCTAACTCTTTGCACATCTGTTAGAAGCCATATTCAGTATTTAACCCTGAGCAGAGTCATGCCCGAGACTATTCCTCCTTTTCCAAGGGAAATCTTTTTTTTTTTTTTTGGTACGGGGGATTGAACTCTGGAACTTGCGCTTGTGAGGCAGGTGGTGGAACCATTGAGCTAAATCCCCGGCCCTCCAAGGGGAAATCTTTTAACAGAATTCTGGGGAAAATTATCTCTCAACATGGGCAACATCTATTTCCTCTTTTCCGCATACCCAAAAGTAAGATAATAATAAACATCATTAGGATATCTCTTTAGGGGACTATCTTTACAAGTTGAGGTCTCCAGAATTCTTTATCAAGTCACCTATTTTTAAACTTGTCCCATGACAGGGAATTTGAAATTTATGCTACCACAAGGGACTACTAGTGTGGTACTTTGTATTCTACTGTGAAATGTAAGAATTTTCTCAGCTAAAACTATGTTATTTACCCAATAAGAAGGTGCAAAAATATGCGTATTTCTTAAACAAAACAAACAGCTGCAATGACAATGACAAAAAAACCCAAGCTGCTCAAGTACATATGATTTAAGATTTTTGAGCTTTTCTGTAATTTTAATTATGTATTGTTTTTCCTTGTTCCGTTATCCGCCAGGTCTTGCCAGCCATCATGCAATGGCAAGCGTATGAGGCTAGAGAAGTACAAATTGGAGAAAAGCTTGCCATTGGAGAAGACCTTAGCCATCAAGTTCATTTTCATATGACTTGGAAAAAGTTCGCCATGAGTTAATTTTATCAGCAGAAGTCTTTTCTTAACGTGGGGAAGAGGAAAAATCCAGGGGAAATAGATCTTAGGCCCTCTGGAGGGGTTACAGTCACCATGGACTCTTGACCAACAAAGTGGCTCCAAAGGGAGTCCGGTGTCTGAAAGGCAGATTATTTGTTGACAGTGCCCAAGATGGAGGAGACTTGATGGAGAAAAGTAAGACAATGTGCAGGAAGCCACAGAGGTGTCTAGGTGTAGGGTGACAACTGAGGATGGAGGAGGAGGTGACAGCCCCCGTGGGAAGTTTGTGAAGGCCAGAGTCATTACAAAGGCAGGAACGTGAGGGCTTGAGGAGCTGTTCAGTGTGGTAGATGCTGTCAGTCACCTTCCCATCACTAAGACAAAAACACCCATCACTGCAACTTTAAGGAGGACAGGTTTATTTGACTCACAGTTTCAGAGGTTTCAGGCAGAAATGCATGGTGGAAGGGCCTGGGGGAGGAGAGCTGCTCACCTCATGGCAGCCAGGGAACAGAGATAGGAAGAAGGGAGGAGCAGGGAACACGAACACACCCTTCCAGTGACCCACCTCCCACCAGGCCCCACCTCCAAATACGAGACTTTTGGGTGACATGTTAGAACTAAACCTTAACAATGGTCGAAGTTCTAGTCTGGAGAAAATGGGAAATTAGCTAAAAACAGAAAAATTGAGAAAATAAGTTTGGGGAATTTTAAAATTCATTTGAAGTGATGGTGTAAATTTGATAAAGGTAAAAATATGTAAACTGAGAATGGGAAACAACCATGTAAAAAGATGCTCAACATCACTAATCCAACCCTGACCACAGTGGGATATTCCCTAACTCCCACTGGATGGCTACCATCAAACACACACCTAACCAAACAAAACAGAAAACAGCAAATGCTGGCGAAGATGTGGAAAATCAGAATACATGTGCATTATTGGTAGAAATGTGAAGTGGCACAACTTCTATAGAAAATTGTATTATAGGGGGAGTAAAAGGATCTTTTAAATTAGCAGAGACTTTTAGATGGGACTATGAAATGCTGGCTGATACCTCTAGCTCTATTTTGGGAACCAGCCATGTGAAGGCAAGAATTTTAGAAGGTGGTCTCTCTGCAGTTCAACAAAACTCCCAAGCTAGCTACCATTTCACCATTGTAAAAGACACGAACGAGGCTCAGAGGGGTTAAATAAGTTGGCCAGGACCTAGGCTGGCCAGTGGCAAGACCAGGCTTGGGCTCTGTGGTGCCAGGCTGTTTCCACAGAGGGAGGAAGACAGCGGAGTCTGAGCTGTGAGGGTGGGGAGGGGCATCAACAGCCACAGGTTGAGAGGGAAGACGGGGTCAGAGAGACAAAGCATAGAAGCAGCCGAGGAGGCAGCGGGTGGGAGGGAAGAACGCGATGCTGTCGGCATCTGAGAATAACTCAGGACGCAGTCAACGGTCTGCAGCGCCTCTACCTATCTGGATGCAATTTCTTATCATGTTGCCTTTGCACTCAATTACTCCAGTTTTGTTGAGAACAGAAAGTGAGATGAGTCTCATTTACTCTAATTCAGCTCCTGTTGTGAAGTCTCATTTTAGAAAGTCACTCTGTGCTGCCTCCCATTTAATTCTTTGTTCTGTTGTTGACCCTGCTGAACACTCATCATCGGTGTCCCTCGGAATGTTTTTGCCTCGTGATCTGAGGTGTCACCCTAGAAGAAGCAAGTCCCCCCAAGTTGGGTTCCATACGCCTCTTCCCTGGTGCTCTCTCCTGTTATCCATGCACACACTCAAACACACACACACACACATACACACACACACACACCTGATGTGCCCAGTCCTATTACTCCTTAGGACTGAGGGGCGAGAATGTCCCCAACCCTTGGCTTTCAGTTTAGAGATTTCAATCACCAAAGGGCACGACTGGAGGAGGACACCACCATGATCACAGGCACCATGGAGGAAGAAGGGGCCCGTCAGTCGTCACTGGAAGACACCACCAAGACTTGCTCACACATAAAAGTGTGTGCTCACAATCAGTAAAACATGCTTATAGCCAACAAGCACATTGCTTGTACAACCCAGGTGAATCAGAGTACCTGTGCCAAGCACTTAACAAGGATCACACACAGAGTCACACGGAGGACTGAAAACCCGACAGAATGGTTTGCACTCAGGAGGGGGGGTCCTGCTTTGGCTCCACTCTCCCGTCCCTCACCAGTGCCCCCTGGGACAGACTCAGGGCCAGGGGACCCACAGAGCTGGGTCATTGCTGCCATCCTCCTGACTTATACCACCGATTTCCAGCCACCCACGCTGACTTCCAGCCACCCACACTGACTTCCAGACATTTTCTCGTAACGCTTCCATGGCATCCCGAAGGTTTTAGCTCTTTTCTTCTCTGCTCAGCAACTTTCCTTCCTCCCTCCTCCCTGTTACCCTTTGTCTTCAGCTGTTTTGTTTTTTCACTGAAGAAGATGAGTTTGGTTTTGATATGCATATATCATGAAGGCACAGAGGCCTGATGCTCCCACCCCAAGCCTTTGCTCTGTTTAAAGATCCCAGGTGGGTGTGGCTCAGGGGCAAAGTGCTTGCCCAACACGGGCAAGACCTGGTGCTACTGGGGTTCTGGGGTGCTGTGTTCTTCCAGGGACTCCTTCGGGGTGCTTATTGTCCTGAACAAAGACTTAGACAGGAAACAAAGTAGCGAGGTTTTACATTTATTAAAAGTATTAAAGGTAAGACAAGAAGGGAAAAGCAGTATGCTCTGCAGAGCAAATGTAGGCTAATTAAAACAGGGAAAAAAACCCCTCTGCAGAATACAGAAAGAAACAAAGAAGGCAGAGGCCACCAGGCTCATGACTGCTCTTTTGTATCTTCCATTCTGACATCAGTCTAGGCTACTCTAACAAAACCTGCTTGATCTCATGCCAGAGGAACTGAAGACAGCATCTCAGATTGGTAGCAGATGCAGGGCTTAGAAGCTGTTGTGCACATGTGTCCAAGATCTCCATGATTGACAGGTCATGCCCACTGGCCCAGCCAGCTAGCCACACCCTAATCTCCTGTCTCCCTGGGTTCCAATCCCAGCAGCCTCCCACTCCAATTTTTGTCATTTACAAATTTCCTCACATGTAAAGTGGGGTTAACAATAAAATGATTCATATTGTAGTTGTGAGAATTTGGTGAAAAGCACATAATAAACAAAGTGCTGAGCACAGTGCCTGCAGGAATGCAGCAGGTGTAGAGTTGATTGTCAACAGTGGAGCTGTTCTGAAACTCAGAGAGCTAAGCAGGAGTCTGGGAAGAAGCCCCAGGGACGTTTCCTCTTGCAGTGTCTCTTTGCCTTTATTAAGCTCAGTCTCTGCTCTCTGTGTCCCCATGTCAGCCCAGTAGCTGATGGTGTGGCGACTCAGCGAAGACACCAAGGGCTAAGTCTGGCCTGGTGACCAAAGCCCTGGCTGGATTGAGGGGCTGGAAAGGCTGAGGGTCCCACACCCTCTCTGATCCAACCGTCCCTGTGTACAAAGGGGGCCGACATAGGCACCAAGACTGTGCTCAGGAAAATTCTTTAACCGAGGCTGTGGCCCCACCTGGAGGTCCCCACATCCTTTTCCATTTGCTTCTCACTGTAGAAATGACACCTCAGAAACACTGAGAAAATATCTTGGTTTTGGGCTAAATATTACAGTCTAGAAGATTTAGTGAGAAATAAATCAAAGGAACCAGAGGCAGGGAGGCTGGAAAACCTCCTTGTCTCCTTGCTAGCTTGGATGTTGAGTCTCCCCTCAAGGACCATGAGCTGAAGGCCTGGTACCCGGGAAGCTGCTACTGAGAGGAAGTGGAAACATTAGGAGGCGGGGCCTGTGGGAGGAAGTGGTGTGACTGGGGGCTAGGGATTGTGAGAGGAAGTAAAAACATAAGGAAGCAGGGCTTATGGGAGGAAGTGAGGTCACAGAGGGGCTGGGGACCGTTGGACCTGGCACCTCCTCCTCCCTCTTGCTGTCTAGCTCAGGACTTCAGTGGTTCTGCTCTGCCAGCCTTCTGCACCATGGTGTGCTGCTCCTCACAGGTCCTCATGCAGTTGGACCAACCAACCAAGGACGGAATCTTCCAAACTATGTCAGGATAAACCTTTCTCTTACAAACGGACCATCTTCGGGGTTTGGCTAAGGTGATGGGAAGTCACGCAGTTCTCTTGTCCTTTAAACAGGCGCCTGTTTACCTGGTCTGCCAAAGAGACCAAAGGAGAGTCAGGACGCTGCCACCACATGTGGTCGGCATAGTTGCTTTGTGTGAACCGGAAGTGCTCAAACTTAGCCAAAGAAAGGTGAGAGACTGTGTCCTAGGGGGTCCAAGGCAGTGGGGTCCTTCCTACCATTGGCTTGGGTCTGGGTGGGCCAGGGAACTCTTCAAGAGGGGTTCCAGTGTCTGTGACAGTTACTACCTTGCTGTCCTCCATCCTCGATTGTGTGTTGTGATATCCTCATTTCCTTGCGCCAAACATGGTGCCAGGGATGCAGGCAGACAGGGAATGCACAGGAAGCAGAAAGGAGGTGGCATTGACTCGTCCCAGACACCAGAATCAACGCCCTGTACCCACGGTCTCCTGAAACATCTCAGGAAGGAATGGGCTGGTGTCATTGCTTCTGCTCTCAAAGACCTGGTGATGAGACCCTGAGGCTGCATAACCTGTCCTCGGCCGCAGGTTCAGTAACTGAGGTGCATTAGAGCCGAAGCCTGTGGTCTCAATGCGCATGGGCTCCCCGACATCACCCACTGCCCAGGGGAGGCACCAGGTACGCAACTCACTGAAGTGCGGCTGAGGACCAGTGCTATTGGAGCCCAAGGAAAAGGCAGAAAGTGGTTCATTTGGGTTTTAAGAATGTTGACATATGAAGAGGGATAAAAAGGGCAGTTAGGGAAACCAGCAGGGTGACTGGTGTTGAAGACAGAATCTGAGGGAGTGAAATTGCAAAGTAACTTCCTTGTCCTGTAGCCTCTTCTACCAGTGAGTCTGGGGATGTGCGGGTTGGAGCACAGGGGCCCTGTACCCCCAGGGAGCTGGGAGGGTGGCCTTAGGGACAGCATGAGAGCCGTAGCACTGTCACTTCTGAGCCAGGAGCTGGCTGGGCACGAACGAATTGCAGGGGCCGGAGCGGGCAAAGGCGGCCGTGGCCTGGGGCACAGGGGTCATAAGGACCACACTGTCATCACTCTGCACATGGGGCTCAGCCAAAGCAAGGGGACGTTTTGGGACGCCTGGGGCCACCAGGTGTGGACAGGGTGCACAGGCACACTGGACCTGGCTCCAGTTCCTGGGTCCCAAGGTGGAGACCAGGGTCTCCCTGATCTGATGGGACTCGGAGCCGAGAGCCACAGGCTCCCGTCTTCAGGCGACGTGCTGCTCTGGGATGCTCCGGTCCGGCGCATGTGTGGGTGCTGCGGGCCCCCCAGTGTCAGAGCGACATCCCCCACTGGCTCCCAGCCCATCCTCGGGCCTCTGCTCCTCTCTTCCTCCCACTTCCTGCCCTGCACCCTGGGGACAGGACTCCCAGTGGCCTCCTGCAGTAGGAAGGTCCCGGATGGCACTCCCGAATGTGCTCAGGGCCCGATGTGTGCCATGCCTGTGCCCCTGTCTGGCTGGGAGGGTCCAGCTGCTTCACTACCATTATTCTGAATGGTGCGAGGAACTGCTGGGGAACACTAACACTCAACCCACAGAGCCCTCGGAGACACTGGCCTGAGGCACCGACAGGTGGCCCTTGGAGTAGAGCAGAGTCCTCCTCCATGACCGCCCGCTGCCAGGGCCCCAGGTCCTGGCCTTCAGAGTGCAGCTCACCTAGCTCTTCCCGGCTGCGGGTCCGGGACTTGGCTGGCTACGTGGGTGTGGACTAGTTCCTTACGCTGCATGTCTCAGTAGTCAGGTGGTTGGCTGGATAGATGGATGGACGGATGGATGGACAGACATCCTGTGGTTTCTGCTCTCTAGAGAGCCTCAACTCATACGACGGAAAAGCCACATGTCAAGACGTGTGTTTCGTGTTACTCGTGATCTGCCGCTTCGGTGCCCCCTATGGGGCAGGAGGTGGACCTTTCCCATAGAGCACCGGCCCCAGACTCTTACTGGTTACCACCCCTGGGGAGGGCAATCGTGCCCTGACCCTGGCTGAGTCAGAACCTGGTGGTGCTGGAGCTTGGAACTGAAGCATCCCACAGAGGCTGACGTGCTCCAGGCTCCATCCCCATGTGATGCTCCTGCAGCTGGCTGTGGGCTTGCTGGAGGGGGACCTACAGGAGGCTCAGTGTGTAGTCCAGGCTGGCCTTGAACTCACTAGATAGCCTAGGCTGGCCTGCAACACACAGTAATCCTCCTGCCTCAGCCTTCTGAGTGTTGTGATTACAGGTGTGTGCCCCCTGCAGCAGGAGGGGTTCTTTATCAGATTGGACAATCTCACTGGGATTCTTGTGGGTTGTTGGCAGGTGCGCCAGGCCCTGTGGGTACAGAGATAGGGTCACCATAGGGTCCCCGCAGCCTGTTGTAAATGAGCCTTCCTCTCACTAGCGTGCAGGGAAGGGAGGTGCAGGTCCCTGCGTGAGCCCTGCCTTTCCTCAGGGTGGCCCCATCACTGGGCCTCTGCATGCTCAGCGGGAGCCCAGACACGGGTCCACAGTTGCCGAGTGAGTGGGGTACAGGGGCAGACAGAGGGTGCTTTTGAAGAGAAGTTTTATAAATAATATGGAAAAATAGGTTCCCTGCACCATTGTTTCATTTAACAAAAATGAGCATGTTAAAATGAAAATATGGTTTTTGTTATTTCTTTATAAAACTGTTTTCTTTATATAGATCCAGCTTCTATTGACATAAAATAGCTTTGCCATGACATCATCGTCCCCTATAAATAAAACCATGATCCAGTGAAATGGCATTTGCTTTTACAAAAGCTTTAAGAGCAGAGCAAATGTCAGTGTGGCCATGGAGGGGGCATCCCGGAGACACCCCCTGTTCCCTTCAGCTCTGGGGACAGCGTCTGCACCACCCACCGTCCCTCCCTCTGTGGAGAAAGGGTCAGCAAACGAGAGCTGGACTAACAACATGCACCCTTGGGTGCCACAGGCCAGACGCGGTTGCCTGACATCAACTAATCAAATGATTAATCTGTTGGATTATTTAGAATTAGTTATTCATCGAGTTACTGATTAATTAACTGTTGTTCTTGTTATTCCTTAGAGTTTATAGCAGTTGTTTTACCACCATACGGTGTACTGCAGATTTTCTGATCTTGGGTCTTGGTGAGAGGCACAAATCCAAGTCCTTTCAGACTTTAGAGCTGAATGTCCTCCTGGCATTATTCAGGGTTTTAAGAATGAGGGTCATGGGTTATGAGAGGTGGATTTTCAACACACTCATCTGCTCTTTTAATTTCAGTTTTCTCCTGTGGGAGAGAGGAGAGGAGAGGACGTGACTGAGTGTAAAGGGCTGCATTTGATGTCCATGCTGTCTGTCCCCACTGTCTGCCACATCTTCTGCTCCCACCATACACTGGTTCTGGTGTGGTCCCTCTAGCCACATGGAAGTCCTTTCCAAGAGGTGTGTGATTTTCTTTGTGAATCTAGGAAATAAAACAGCTTTTTGACAACTTAAAGTTTTTTTTTGAAGCCCATTATCTCTTATAAAACATTGAGCTTAAGAGTATCACTTCAGTGGGCATCCATTTAGCTATAAATGTCTCATTTCTTACTTTTTATGGCTGAGTCGTACTCCATTTTATAAAAAACCCACATTTTCTTTATCCAGTCTTTAGTTGATGGGCAATTGGGCTGCTTCCAAGTTTTAGGTATTATAAATTGTGCTGCTGTTGGATGCACATTGAGGTGATACTCTTAAGTGAAATAAATAAAACACAGATGTGCAAATACTGAATAGTTTCTCTAGTGTGAGAAACTGAAAGTGTACATAAGGACTAAAATGTTTAATAGGTAATGTGAAATAGGAAGAAAAGGGGCAGAGGGGAAGGAAGTGGGAGGGGTAGGGGAAAGGAAAGAAGGGAAAGGAATTAATATGAGAAAATGGAAAAATGGAAACAAAGTCTTCGTAAATAGGGAGGGATGGAGGGGTTGAAGGGAGAGTGGAGGACTGGGGAAAAAATAAGAACCAGGGTGGGTTATGTAAAGGTGCAAATTTCCAATGATGAATGTCATTATATTGTACACCTAAAATGTACCGATAAAATTAATAAAAAAAAACCCCAAAACCAAAAAACATTGAGCTTTCCAAAAGAGCTCCAGTTCTATAATACACAGCAAAGATAACACTGCCTCATAACTAAACTGGGCTGGGCTGGTAACAGCACAAATAAAAAATATAGGTAGTAACAGAGCCGAGGGGCCGGGAACAGCGAATAGAATCCGTGAGGGGTGCTGAGGTGTCCCGGGACTTTCCCTCAGGGGCCTCTGCATGCGGGTCTTCCCACCCTGGTGCCCCGAGGGGCTCTGCATCTGCTGTGGTGTAATGTGGAGAACACACCCGGGGTCCCTCCGTGAGCACAGCCAGGGCAGCTCTGCGGAAAACAGCAAAGCGAGCCCAAGAAGCTGCCTCTGCCACTCCACATCCAGAGGAAAGAGAAAGCCTGGTAGTCCCAGCACTACAGGGAGCTGAGGATCACAAATTTGAGCCCAGCTTGGACCATTTAGAAAGATCTTGTCTCAAAGAAAGGGGCTGTACGTGTAGCTCAGTTCAAATCCCCGATACTGAGGGGAAAGACGTGAGCTTGTTTTGTGCGAATGATCTGTGCCTGACTGGCCTCCAGATACCCCTCCTCCACATACCCCTGCTGCCTGTGAGTCGTACAGCAGCCCTTGGCTTTCTGGATCCCCTCAGACAGCCAGTTTCTCTCTACTCTTGGCCTGCACTGGCTGTCTGTGCCTTCAGAACGCAGTCTTCCCAGATCTCAGCTAAGCTACTTCTTCCTGTCCTTCTCATCTATGACCTTCTCAAAGTGGCTGCCCTTGACCTTCTCAAAATGACCTCCCTTGATCTTCTCAAAATGGCCTCCCTTGATCTCATGCTCCTCCTTGGCCTCCCTAGAGCCTGGAAGGTCCCATTCTGCCTCAGTCCATCTTCATGCTCATCACTATGCCATATGAGATTCTCTTCTGTCTCCCTCTCATCTTTCACTGGCTCCTAAACTTGGTGACAGCAGGGACCTCATCTCCCTGTTTTACTGTGTCCTTACCATCTAGAAGAGCTTAGGCCACCTTATGAGACTACCATAAGTGTCCCTTGCATGAATTATTGAAGCCACACTTCATTCCACGGAAGCAAGCATGTCTTATTTTTGCCAGCATCCTGTTCAAGAGACTATATCATATGTTTTATTAATTTTTCCTCATTTAATGTTGGTTATAGTGGGCTGTGTCATCTAAATGGTTTGCATTCTTAAGTGTTCAAATTTCTCCTTTACAGTTTCTTGGTTCAATGACATGATTAGAAAATCTTTCTACATCAGAATTGTAAAAACATCCACCCACATTTTTTTCTAGTGATTTTATATGTTTGCATACATTTCATTACTTAATCCATCCTGAAGTTATTTTGGAAAGAGATACATGGTAAAAATCCAAGTTAAATTTTATTCAGACTGATAGACAGTTGTTCCAAAACTATTTATTGAAAAATTTAGCATTTCTCTACTGATTTGAAATGACATCTTAATCATATGTTAAATTCTCCATGTGAATTCCTCTCTCTTAGAACTCTTCTCTGCCCCAGTGATTTGTTGGGCTGGTTATGCCCCAGAATCAAAGCATTTCAATTTCTGCAGCTTTCTTATAGCACAGTTGCTTATCTGGTAGGGCAGGAGTCTCTTTCTTCAACATCAGACATATTTTAAAGTACATTTTGCCTCCTCAGATTAACTTTAGAATTATTTTTTAGTTAAGAGAAAGTTAGGGTTTGTCTTAGTCACTTTGTTGCTGAGACATATACCCTCAAATTAAAGGAGGAGGGGTTTACTTTGGCTCACGATTTGTAGAGGTTTCAGTCCATAGTTCAGGGCTCCAAGGAAGCACAGCATAGCAGAGGGGCCTGGCAGAGGAGAGCTGCTCAGGGGATGGCAGACAGAAGCCGAGAACCAACGGAGGAGCCAGGGAGGGAGATGAACCCTCCCAGGTCACGACCCCTAGTGACCCACATCCTCTGACCAAGCTTCACCTCTGACATCACATTTAGCTATCAATTCATTAGTTATAAACTAATCCACTGATGAGTATCACATACCATGATCCACTCACCTCCCCAAGCCCTACCCCAAAGCCCTTTGGGGGAATATCCAGATCTATACCACAGCAAGGTTTCTTGGGGTTGTCTTAGGAATATGCTATTGTATATGAGGTGTGCTCTTCTAGGGTTTGGTATGTTTCCTGACTCACTCAGATCTTTTGTATTCTCAGCATTTTGTTTTCATTTTCTCCTGACACCTGATGATAGCTGGAGAATGGACCTTCCGGAACCCCCCTCCCCCATTTATCTGGTTCCGCATTTCCTGTGGCTTTCTGTAATGTGTCTCTCTGTCCCACCCATTTCCTCTTGGGTGGGTCAGATGGACTGAGGGTTATAGACAAGGTTTTGAGGGTGTGGAGAGACTTCCTGTGGAAAGAATTTCCAGAACCTTCTATAACCGTCAAGGATTTGGAAAACAGAGACAAGCTTGCCAATTCCCTGGCTTCAGGTCAAACAATAATCCACAGAGGGGCATGAATTCATCTTTGTCTGCCACTCTGAGTTTGCTACGGTAAGACAAACATCCGTATTTTTTTGTTTGTTTGCCTGGTTGATTTTTTTGAGACAGGCCCTTACTACGTGGCCTGGCTATCTCTGAACTCACTATGTGTGCCAATCTGGCCTTGAACTCTCAATTCTCCTGTCTCAGCATCCTGAGTTCTGGGGTTACAGGCATGCACCACCATGCCTGGCGAAACTTCTATTCTGAACTCACTTTTCACCAAAGGCTGACTCTGAAGGCTACAGGTGAAGCTGACACATCATAAAAAGTGATATTTCAGTGTGAATTCAGCATGAGGATAAACAAAGCAGGTAAGATTGTATTCTGTGGACAAGAGGTCAGGCTGTGGACTCAGTGTACACCTTAGCAGTGTGTCTCTGAGGCTGGGCTGTTCATCTGTCTGCCCCGAAGTGGGTTCCTTTGTCAAAGGGCCAGTAATTGTCCATCTTGCATGGTTTGCTAGAAAGGTTCAAGGTGCTAATCTCTGTACAAGCTTAGAACGGTGTTGTTATGGAGATGTAAAATGCTCCCCTAAAATTATCCTCTGTCCAGAGCGGGGCTTTTGGAAGGTGACTGGGCTGTGGGGTGCCACCCTCATTCACGGACTCATGCACTGAAGAGTTCATGGCTGGATGTGCTGTTAGGAGACAGGGACAGGTTGGAGAGGTGGTCCCTTGAGCGTGGCCTGGAAGGGTGTGTTCTTGTCCCTGGCTCCTCCCTTCTCTCCTGCTTCCTCAGTACCATGGGTTGCTCGGCTTTCTTCCTTCATACCTTCCCACCACCCCATTTCTGCCTTGGAGCCAACGATGCACTGAACCCTCTGAAAACCAGGAGTCAAAGCAAACCTCTTCTCCTGTAAGTTGTAGGTGCTGGGCACTTTGTCCCAGTGGCAAGGAAGTGACTGACATAAGCAGCATCTCCCTTAAGTCATGGCTCTCACCATTTGACACACTCATGCGGGGCTGCTGGGCTGGCCTCCAGGAGTCCTGAGCTCTTCAGGTGCAGGAGGGTCCTCCTGCATCCTTTAGGGTGCTACCCTGGGGGAGCCACCACAGAAAGCCTATCAGGGAGACTCCTCATTCCCATCCCATGGGAAAACCCACACGATTGGCCACATTTACCCAGGATGTGTTTGTGCTTGCTTCATCAGTTTTTGTCTTCTTTCTTTGGTCTTCAGCTTCTGTTTCACTACTTTTTCTACACCCTTCCCAGATGTGTCCCATAACCCTCACCCCTGTCCTGCTATTGTCCTTCCTCGTTATTGGCCAGGTGGGGAGCACTTTTGTCTGTGTTCACTGGCATCATAATCACCATGTCACAGCCTCTTCTAAGCCCATCCTTATCTGACTTGGGCTGTACAGATTTACAATGAATCACAAAGACTCCACAGGTAACAATTTTATCTTTCTCACTGCCAAGTTGCTAGTGCTTAGACCACCCCTCAATTATATCTGCATATAGTATAAACTCAATAAATATTTGTTGAATGAATGAAATTTTAAATTTTAGCTACTCTGTTGACCATTCACATGTTCTTGGGACATCCTTCTATCTTTATCCATAGAAACATGTCATTCTTATTTTCTTACGGAATCTCTTTTGTTTCCTTTTCTTTGTCCACCCATCAAATGGAGATTTTCTTCAGAGTTTGATTCTTGGTCTCTTCTCTTTTCTTAAATGTTTCCAGGGAGACCTTCCTCGTTCTCTGGGGCACACGTAGAACTCAATGCTTTTAAAGTTTAAAAGCTGCAAATATTCTCCACTCCCTGACATCTGAAACAATAGAATAAGGAAAAGCTCTCTTCTCTCTAGAGTAACTGAATCCTGGCCACAGCTGGGCTTGTTACT